GCCGTCTGTCACCTTACAATGAAGTCATTCCTCTCTAAACAATGAGCTTATAAAGCCCTTTTGAGTCCTTCCAGATAAAATTTGCTCATAATCCAGCAGTTTGGATTTTCAAGCATGGTACGGTGATGGTTTTTCATCTCTTCTGCCAGCAGTTGAAGTCCTTCAAAGTGGTGGTGTCCCTTTGGTGCTCATCCCATATCCTGACAGTGATCACACAGCTCAAATGTAAATATTTGGTACTGTAAAACCTTGATGCCTGCAAATGTCTTTGTGCCAGGCTGGATTTAGTAATCTTTACACTTCCAGCTTCTCTGTCATCATGCTTTTCTTGTCTTTTGATGCTTAGGAGTTAAATGTTCTTCCAAGGGATGCTGTTTGGTCATTTACTGTTAAGTTGGAAAGGGAAAATCTCCAACAAAACAGCAAAGCAACCAAAGTAACGTGAGGACTGCAAGAGAAACTGAAACAATTTGACTAGGACTGAAAATGGATTTAAAACACAGCTTTCACGCAAACCTATTCAGTCCCCATAACAACAGGTTTTCAGCACCTAGCTTGGCATCTTGTTCAGGAATGGAAGTGTGCAGGGATTAATGCTAAATATATTGACAGTGATGAATTTAAGAGGGTTCCTTTTGATTCAGATTTTGTTCCTTAAGACTGCCCTCCTTAGCAGTCAGTGCACTTTAGCAGTCTTGCCATAATGACAGATATGAATGGGAGAGGCAGAGAAGCCATCTAGTGGGTTTTGCCAGTGCCCCTGCTTAAGCAGCAGTGATATTAAAACAATCTCTAGCTCCTCAAAGAGTGGCCCTGTCAACTTGCTGAAATGATGGAATGGTAGTTAGGTTATTAGAAAGAAAATTGGCACAAATTGAGAGAGACGATGCTCTGGCAGCGACCACAAGCAGCCAGCAACTCGGTGGCTTAATCTCTGCCCTCAGGCTGTTCTCTCCAATACAGATGACACCTTGTCAGCAAAGATGATGTGCTGGGTCATCCCAGAGACCAATGGGCTAAATTGGCCGCAGAGGGAAGGGTTGCTGCGGTGTAGAGACAGCAAGCCACATAATCTAATTCTTCTCTTTCTTTATGTATGTCATCATTTGGATACTGACAGTAATTGTCAAGGGATTCTCTTCTTAGTAGTATCTCCTAGCCACAGCTATCTCCACACTCATGTTCGCAAGAAATGGTCCTAAGCTTTCACAAAAATTGCTTGAAATCTCTTGAAGACTTTAATGCGTGATTTCTTTTTTGTGTTGTTATTAAACAGTGTCCAAAGGAGGGCTATGGAGATGGTAAAGGGCCTAGAGGACAAGGCATATGATGTGTAGTTGCAGTCCCTTGGTTTGTTTGGCCTCAGAAGGAGACTGAGGGGAAGGCTCATGGGATATTGGGATATTCTGTGGAATATTCTATGGTTCTGTGATTCTTCTTCCTGGGTAAAGTGGGTGAGGAAAATGGGGGCAGGAAGCAACTGCTGCCTCTGGGAGTGAGTGTGGCAGGGAAAAGTGACCAAAAACTATACGGCTGTTGGCCACTACAGGGTCTTTGTCCAGAGCAGTTCCTGCCAGAATGGTGAAGGTGGAGACTGGGAGAGAAGAAGGGAGCTCATCTCTAGCAGAGTGAGTTTGTGAGGGGGTCAAAAATGTGTGACTGGATTTTGCATTCACCTGAACAAGCTCAGTGAGAGCTGAACTCTCAGTCAGGTGTGCTTTATACTTACTGTTCCTCAGTGCATGATTCAAGTATGCGGAAAGGATTTAATCCATAGACTGTATAAAACTGTTCCATTTTGTTGGATGATTTTTTTCATTGTTATCTCCCTTTTATCTACTTGTTCAGTTCATGCGAGTTGGCTGTAGTCCTCTACTGTCAACTGTGGATGAGGATGCTTTTGCAAGTGCTGATGCTCTCCTTGAAATCCCAGCAGAGTTGGGGAACCGTTCTTCCAGAACCCTCAGTAGCATTCATTTGCACTGAAGTCAAACGTAACTTAATGAGGAGCCTGACTATGCTGGCAAAGCTTACTGCCCTCCCTCTAGGCTCAACTTGCCTGTCCCTATTTCCAAAACGTTGGCAGCTGAGTACAACTCCAACCCTATGGTAGGAAAGAATTATAATGAAAAAATCTTGAAATTATGCTTGTGTTTTTTTTTCCTAAATCCGCAGCAGTTTGCAGACTGGCAGAGCTGTCAGAGGATGGTGGAATTAAATCCGGAGAAGTTTTAATGACTTGCCCAAGTTAATTCAGGCAGCTAGTGACAAAACCTGTCCCCTGGAGCATTGTGACACAGCATACTGTAGCCTACACCTGCAGTCAGAGCGTTCAACCATCTTTATCCAATAAAGCATTTAAGGAATATGATCAGTGTAATTGCTCTTCGGCCCCGCCAAAGTAAAGAAAGTGTGTAAGCACTGTATTGAATTAGAAGAGATCTTCGCCTGTGCCTGCACCTTTAGCTGAAAGCAGGAACTTGATGGTAATGGAGCAATTAACCTGAATAAACAGTTAGAAGTGTTAGGTTTTGTGGTTTCCTCAAAATTGTCTTGTTAGCAATGGAAATTGTAGTAGGGCTCTCAGTGGTAAAGGTGGTTTGGGTAAAGGAAAAAGCAAAGGAATAAATTTATCCTTTATTAAATACGACCTCTGCTGTAATTTGGGGCTAACACAGTAATTACGTGTGGATTTCTTAAAGAAGAGATCCAACAGAGAGAATGGATGAAGGGCATAATTTAAAAAGGAACTCAACTCATTTTTTAGTGTAAACAAAGCAAAGAACAAATGAAGTGAAAAGTGAAGCAGATTTCTGAAGGAACAGTCACCTGAGCACAGCACAAAGCTGCAGGACGCAGTTGCTGCCTTTTCTTGTCTTTGCAGGTACAAAATAGTGTGGGAGTATCTTCCTCCACTATTTTAAGCTATAGGTCAGGGATTTATTTTTTCTTCCTACTAGGGAGGTTGTTTTAAGCATTGCATAGACAAATAGGAAATCTGAAGAAACAGCAGAATGTATTTTTCCAGAGCTCTGCATGTTGTGTGGGTGCTCAGCACTCCATGGCAGCCTTGAAAGTTGCTCCCATTGTGTATCATTAGAAAGAGTCAGGAGTTTTTTGTTTCCTAGAGTCTGAGGTGGGGATTGTTTAAGGTATCAATGGAGGTGTCTCATATTAGGTCTATGTAGAAAACACAGCTTCTAATGGAGAAATCACAGTGGCTGCATTCATGTTCTTTGGACCTGCAAAGAAGCCTCAAAGAGCATCTGTAAAACAAGAGAGGGCATTTGTGCATGAAACACGATAGAGAAGGCTGGGCCAAATCCTTCAGTCTGTTATTCAGGCAAGACTCCCACTAGGATCAATGGGAATTTTGTCTAATAAATGAGTGTGATAAATCCCATTGCCTGCTGATCCGTGTTAAAAGCACTTCACAAGTGTCAATGCAGTTTCTTCTTGTTGGTTTACAGTCTACCTTTAATATAATTTTTCCTTCCTGCAGTAAGCAGGGCAAGTGCAGAAATTGCTAGGGGCATATTAATATGTTCAGGTGCCTTGCATTTCCAGGGAGATGGAGCACAGAGGATTAAAATTTGTCCTGGCATGTGTTCCAGCTGTGATGCAGGGGTATGACACAATGCTGTTTCTTCCTTGCCATTCTTGGCTTTTCTTTTTTCACACATGAAATGATTTTGGTCTGGTTGTACAGATCTCAGGCTCTTCCAAGCCTTCCTGTGGTCATTTTCTTTTGAACAACTGTCAAATGGAGAACGTGTAATTGAAGCCAAGTTTTTCAGTAGTGGCAGGTGGCTCTGAGATGCGTGAAGGTTGGGATGATCACCTCTCAGCACTGCTGAATGCGTGCCTTCTCCTCACTACCCCCAGTGGGTGGATGGGAGGAGTGCACTGAAAGTCACATCTCATTGGTGTTCCTCCTTGAAATTCAAGCATCCAAATCTCATATCACTTACAGAATCTCTAGCCAAATTGAAATTATCATCCTTGATTATCAATAGAAGCAGAAGAGTTGGGGGGTTTAATTTTACTTTCATTTAGAATTTAAAATTCTTTGTTTTCTTTACAAGGATGTACTCGTCCTAAATCGTAATATGTCACATGTCTCAGAGAGCAGGGAATTTTTTTTGGTTGCTAAGTTTTTTTCCCCAGCAGAAGTGTGTAGCTGTTTTGAAGTTAGCTGTACATCTGGAGATCAGATAGGGGAACAATTTACAGGGTGTGAAAAATTTCAAACGCTTCATGTCCTCTGCATGGAGAAAAACTTTCTGAAGCAGCATTTTAATTTTCCGAGCAATTTTACCACTGCTTTCTCCTTTTGAATGGTGCATTTTTGTGTGCCAGGCTGCCATAAACAATGTGCTTTAGACTGGCACTTTCCAGACTGCTTTTCCTTTTTAAAGAGCGTAGGCAACTAATCGGCAGCAACCAGCCGCATAGCTGGAGTGTTTTCCATTCTAGGCAATATCATACTAATTTGATGCACACATGGATGCTTCACACAATCTGCAAATTCATCGCTGGCATCTTGCATTAGTCATCTGACAGATTGCCAAGTGTTTCATATTCCTTTCATGTGACTTTATTACAAAACACACACACACACACGCACACCCCAGCACTGCCTTATTTCTGCCAGTAGCCAGTTCAGTGAGAATTCGCAGCAGTTCTGTTTACAACGGCTATGGAGAGAAATCTGTACTTACTTGCCACACTCCTCTGCTTTAAAATGCAAAAGTACTGGCTTGCGTGGTGCAGCTTTCTTCTTATATAATGACATTAAGCAGCAGCCTGCAGAGAAAACCAGACTCAATGAAAAATGTAATCTCATTGTTTTTTGTACATAATACTTATGCTATTAATTAAATACCGATTTTTTTTCCTGCTCTGTGCCAATTGACATCATCTTTTGCATCTAGTGCACATGAAAACTGCGTAGTCTCCTAACTTGCCTTTTCTTTTTCATCTCTTCTTCCACTTTCTAGTAACGGCACAGCTAACAAGATGAATGGAGCTTTGGATCATTCAGACCAACCAGACCCAGATGCCATTAAGATGTTTGTTGGACAGATTCCCCGTTCATGGTCGGAAAAAGAGTTAAAAGAACTTTTTGAGCCTTACGGAGCTGTCTACCAGATTAATGTTCTCCGAGACAGAAGTCAGAACCCTCCCCAAAGTAAAGGTACAGTAGTTGTACTCTGTTTGCTTTCAGGGATTTTTTCAGTGATCTTGCTTGCCTTTAGAATTTCCAAAGAGGCTTGCATCTGGGCTGTCTGTTTTGAAGCATACTGTGTTGAGCTATGCAGCATTCCTAAGAGGAGAGAACTCCTGAATACCTATCGATTGCTCTCTTCCTCTTTTTCTTAAATTGCAGTTTAAATGTCTGTTATCTGGAAGCGAGCGTTCCAACTGTGCAAAAAATAACAAAAGATTGCCATCCTTGTTTAAATTATTATTGCCAAGAGACATGGAAACCTGAGCGGTCACTTTCCCAGGATTAGCTCATGAAAAATATAATTTTCTACTTCCTTTTGTTTCCTCTCTTTGCACCCCAGGTGGGAATGATTTTCAGGATACAGAAGGAGGGAAAGAATAGCAGTGGGCTCTTGCTACATCACTGCTCCAGAGGCAATAGCAATTAAAATATAGAATTGCCCTGGCCTTTCTCAAAAATCTGATTTCCTATTTTTGTGGTCATGCTAAAGGATTGATTTTTGGCAACGGTATTTTTCTAATAGAAAAGGATGTTTTTTTTCTTTCTGCAATTTTTCTGCCACATGCAAAGCATTTGTCCTTAACTGTATTGCTTTCTTTAGCTGTATGCCTATGCATATTTAGGCACGTGACAATTCTGTGTATTATATAATTATAACATAGTCTCATGTGTAGCCTTAAAGTGAATATTTTGTCTCACAGGATGTGTTTTTTACTCTGTGTATTTTCACTTACAGTTTGAGATTGTCGAGTTTCATATATTAAATTGTTGCTGGCATTGCAAATAATTGGCACCACTCAGAGGCATTTGTGCTTGGTTGTGAAATGACTCGATAGTTACTCGTTTTTAGTCCTCTCCCAGCACTGCATTTAAAATCCTTTATGGGGAAATCTCGCAGAGTGATTCTATGGGCTAGCAGCTAGCAAACGGTGCAAAGCAGCGCCCTCAAGATTTCCAGTTCAGTGAGAGGTGATGGCTGTCACGTGCAGCACACAGCACAACTCCGGGTGCTCCCATGCTTTGTGCGCAGCTCTGCCCAGGCTCAGCATTTCCTCCTCTTTGCTGTCCCAATTTAAGCAGTCTTGTGCTTTGAGTGATATCTTTTGATATGTTGTTTCTGCTTAAAAGAACAGGTATTTTGTCTCAGAATCATGGTGACATCAGGTAAAGGGCTCATAGGAGTACCCTGCTGCTTATCAAGTCCTGTACTAGATTGCTGTCTTCCACCAGTACTGCAGAAGCTATTTGTTATTGCAGTGTTTCTGTTCTGCTTCCACCTCCCTCTGTTCCCTAGAAGTGATGCAACTGAGCGTGCAGCCCCCTGCTCTGTTAGCCCGGTGCCCTCACCAAGTATCTTTTCCTTGTAACACTGGATAGAAGGCAGCATTAAGAGGTCAGGCAACTGGATTTTCAGCAGTCCAGGCTGCTATGGATGAGCAACTCCTACTTAGTTTAAACCACTAAAATACTGAACTTTGAGACTTGGCCATTTTAAGAAGAGCTGATTCCTGGGCCACAGAAATGCCTTCCCACTAAAGCAGTAAATGAGGTTAGAATGATATTGTGGTTAGACAAAGGAAAGTCAATTATTCCCATTTTTGTAGTGTTTTCCATTATACGTACCTGTCCATCAGGCATCTGGAACACATAAGGATTAAGCACAGGTCTTGCAAATCATTGTAGATTAATTATGAAGCCTTGTAATCCCTGTATTCATGAATAGCGTTTTGTTGTTGTTGTTTTGCTAAGATTCTTTTCAGCCTCTCAGACATGATGCTTTTATGTCCCTTCAAGCATTAATGTTTTAAGAGTAAATGAAATTAATCCCCCCAAGAAAACAGAACAGCCTTCAGACTTATATTTCCCTGACACAGCAGTGAGGTCCTCCGGTGGTCAGCTTTTCCCTTGGAAGCTGTGGAGCAGCCTATCTCCGTGCTTCCTCCTGGCTGAGGCTGCCAGTGAAGCTGCCAGATATAGAAACCTCTTGAGTTTCATGTGGGTATCTTTTGACCAAGAATGATCTTTATTTTCTTAATCCAGAAGCACAAAGGATTCTGCATGAGAGATTAAGAATCTGTTACAAACAAAAAAAAAATCAATCTGAAATATATCTGATAGTCTTGTTCTCATCACAGTGCATGAGAAATGCTTTGCCTGTGCCATGTAATTGGTGTTTAATAGCATGAATTGCTGTGATGAAAATGCAAGTTAGTGTTGCTACACATTTGGGGTTGGGCTTGGCTCTTTTCTTTGAAGAAAGAAAAAAATTTTGATTTTTGAAAGATTTTTCTTACACCAAATGAGGGCTTTGTGTTGTTAGTGTGGCTGAAGGGGCTTCTGCCATTTGCACAGACTTTTCCTCTGATGAGCTGTTTATGAAGCAGCAATCCGAGTGTCTCCCAGTTCTGTCAAAAATAACCATCGGCTGCTTCTCTCTCTCCTGCTGTTATTAAGACTGCCTTTCATACCCTCAAACGACAGACGGCCTAGTTCATTGCTTTCCTACTTCTTGTATTCCTTGCCAGCTCTGAAAAGCTGAAGCTGAAGGAAGAGAAGTGGAAAGCCAAGTTTGATGGAATTGGGAAAAATAGAGAAAAAACATATTACTTCCACAGAAATGCTGCTTCTGTGCAGCTTTGTTAATTTGGTCTTATACCACAGGAATGGCTGCATTTCAGTTGGTGATAGCTGGAATATCCTCCTTAAGTAGGAGACTCCTCGTACTGTCCAGAGTTTGCAGCCCTCTGGTTCTTTTCAGACGCGTGAAAGAGCTCAGCAAAGTAATTTGACTTCGTATGTTTATCCCCTGTTGTTTTGTAAGACTTCTTCCTCTTTCTGCAACAAGAGAAATCCTGGGGATTAGGCAAACACTATTCACACACATACAGAATAAAATAATTGTTCAGGAAATCCTGTAGCACTGAATTAAATGGCACTTTCAGCTTCTGAGGGCTAAGGGGATTGAAAGTCTCAGCAGATCAGCTGTCTCTGCTCCCAGTCCATCTTACCTCCTTTATATAATTTATTCTGGGTGGATAGGTAACTTTTTCAGGCCAGTTGTTAAAAAGAGCTTCAGTAATACGTATCTCCACCTCTAATGCAGTGAGCTCAATGTGAAGGTAGCATCCAGCACCACCAAGGCTTCTCCTCTTCCCCACTGTTCTCAGAAGATGGAAATATTTCTCTCACTGCTTTTGTTTCAGAGTTGGAGTGCTGACACAGGCAGATGGCACAGGGCTGCTTAGCTCTCTGAGATGTGGCAGAAGAGCCTTGGGTTGGATCTGCAACATCGTTTTTGTACCTTGCCCCCATTTCCATACCTGTTAATTCTTACAGGGCTCAAGGACCCATGAAGCATGAGGCTGAGCCTGCTCGTACAGGAATCTCCCTCCAGGAAGCAAGTAAAGGCACATGTGACAACCAGCTCTCTCTTCCCTTGTAGCCTTTTGCATACCCGTTATCAGATTAGAGGTAGGATGCTGAGTGAACAAGGACGTGCTGTAGTTAAAGGCCAGTGTTTATTATTATCCTATTTAACATGGTAATTTAAGTCTACCGAGAAACAAGCAGGGGAATCTGATAATGAGGCATTCATCTGCTACATACAGGCGAGACAGGATCAGCAAGGCATATTGGAGGCAGAAGTTATCTGATTGCTTGGGTGTAGTTGTGGGTATAAGCAGGCCCTTCAGAAGTCCTCCATTGTCTGCAATGCATCCTCCAGTCGTTCGAACCCAACACTCCTGCTCAGTGCCCCACTCCATGTGGGGAAGGGAGAGATGAGGGGACTCAGGCAGTCCTGCATGGGAATGGAGCAGAAGCACTGCTTGGTACACAAGCCCACCATAATTATTAGCAAAGGTGTTAACCAAGTGCTCCTTGCCTACCATTTCCACGCCATTCAGCTAATTGCACTCTGCCTGCTCCCAGAAGCAATTTCAACGCGCTGTGTTTTGCAAAACTATTTTAGAAGTTCCCTTCAGCCAGCACTGCAGGAGACAGGGTTTCTCCACATATTTTCTGACTGACATATTTTCACTGACATACTTTGAGTTTAGGATGTTCTCACAGGTTCCCATGAGTGTTGTTTAGCTTTTGAGATCTGATGAGTTGTGTCCTGAGCATGTACACTGCAGGGGTCAGAACTGCAGCCATTGGGCATGCATATTTTAGACTAAATTTTAGTGATCACAGTTGAGAGATCTTATGTTACAACCCTGGGCTTGAAATCTGTCATGCACTGAATGAAAAAGTACTTTTTTTTAATGATGCCTTGTACACTGTGTAAAGTATCATGCAACAAAGACTGGCAAAAGCCAAATTCTGCTGTTAGATGCAAGCACAACAGGGCAGGGGATCAGGTGATAAAGTCAGGTTTTCGACTTTTTGGTTTCTGACCTTGGGGTGTTTAAATTTAATCTTTCAAGACCCTCAATTCTCAAATTTTATATGGGTTATAAGTAGCGTTATAAAATATACTGTAGATGTGAGCTGATTTTTATAAAAGGTAATTCTTATTCTGCAAATCTGCTGGAGTTTCCAAGAGGTTTTTCTGAGAGTGGACAGGTGTGAAATTGTGTATATAATCAAGCTGGATTTCCCAGGGGCATTTCACACAGCGTCACACAGGAGCCTGATGCACACGGCTGCTGGTGAAGCAGGGAAGGGCCCATTTTCATACGGAGAAAGGAGCTGGTGAGATGATCGAGGACAGATTAGAATGGGGGAAGGTTACAGGCCAAGGGAGAAGAAGGGGATGATGATTGGAGAACCACAGGGACTGGTATTGGAGATCGATACTTTTTCACTCTCTATGTAAATGGCTTTGACAGAGAGAGAACCACTAAGTTGTTATCCAACTTTTGGATTGTGCAGAAGGCGCTGGATGGAGGAGAAGGTAACCTGGAGCAAAAAACCTCATGCAAAGAAGCTCAGGTAAAATGAACCATGGGATGAGTAAATTTGAG